ACTAATAATCTTGTTGATGAAGTCATCTACTGTGAGGGTTGCACATAGGAAGAGTTTGACCGTTAAATCATAACGTGATGTATGGACATCTGGCACAATTCTGGTCATTGAAAAGTCCACTGCACAACATAATAAATTGGTATAACATTAAATTTTCTATTGATTTGGGTGTTGAGTGTTCATGATAACCAGTGCCTAACCCCCCAAAAATCCCGAAAATCAAGGAAAACATTTTTATTTTATATATTTTGGCAAAAAAAAAAAAAAAAATCGAGAGTATGATAAAATACATCAATAAAACATAATATTTATAATATTATTACTTCTATAAACAATTAGGGATCTTTTAATCCAAGATCAGTGATTGTACGATAATAGTATAATGCTGATCTTTTAATTCCAAAAATTACTCTGAACCGCCTGAGTGAAACACCTAAAAACCCCTATTGTTCTAGAAATAACTGTCAGCCCCTGCCGTTTGTAACCATTTCTAACTTTTTACTCCATTTAATTATTTTTCTATTAATTTATTATTAATTATATTTGATTAGGCATTTACCTATTTACCCTTTAACTGTTATAACTATAATAATAAAGTGGTAACGGGTTACAAACGGCAGAGGCTTAGAATTTCTCTCTCTAATTCTACTTGTCTTTAAGAGTTCGGTGAAAATAAACTCCCTAAATTAACTAAATAATATTCTATTAATTTATTTATTAAAAACTACCAATGTCACTTGAATGATAAAATAGGTCAAATATAATTCCTTAAAAAAGAAGTGAAATGTTATATAATGCAAACTACCAACTTAGAAATATTTAAAGAATTAAATTTACGGAAATTATATTAAATAACCTCTTATTTTTGTTTTTTTGGTGTGAGTTGAGAAATAAGCCTTTTGTAAAAGTCTATGAAAATAGTCCTATTTCAAAATTTTACCACTAGTTAGTCTAAATTACCATTTATTAACTAAAAATCTAAAATAATCAATAGAAACGGATAAGGTTTCTACTTTCTATCCGATAGATCAGATAGAGTTTGTTTTGTTTTGTTTTGTTTTAAGAAGTGCAAAATTTTGAAATGTAACTATTTGCTTGGGTTTCTTTAACAGAAACAGGCTATCTTTCCATTGAGTCCTCAAAAATAAGTTTTTTAATATAGTTTTCCTTAAATTGTACATAAAATTATTTTGAAAATAAGATCTCATTCAGTTTTAGCAATGCCTCAGGTTTGAGTCTCCACCATGACAGGGCAAGATGGGGTAGAGGTTCAAAAACATTGTAATTGTAATTATAAAAAATATATGGGATAATTACTTGAACCCCGAGGTTTGATCAAATATTAAAACCTCCTCAAGTATTAGTAATAGCGCAAAACCCTCTATCGTTTGTCAAAAGTCAAAAAAATTTTGTTATTGTAGATAGAAGAGAGGTAGAAGGGTCATAACACTTCAAGAATAAATAAATAATTCAATAAATATAAATAACAATTTAAAAAAAAGTTAATGATTATATAAAGAATAATAAAAAATAAAAAATCCATCGCCACCTCGTCTTCTCCCTTCACCCTCCCCACCTAGTCTTCTAATAACGGAGATGGACTTATTAGAGCCTAATAATTAATCTTATGGAATTATTGGAGGAAGCGTGTTGTGGTGATTCATATAATGTTATTAGGATAACATTTAGACATACAATTATTCATTTATTCTATTTTGTGTTAAAAGTTATAATTTTCATTTAAGCTTATATGCCCCTTGAGAGATCGGTAAAATGTAATATTACACATATAACATTTTTTAGAAAACATTATGTGGCATAATATGATTGATTGATTTTAAATTAAAATTAAACTTTCAAATAATCATCTTTTGCTATATAACATTGTATAAAAAATGTTATATAAGAATATTGTACATGTAGTATTATTCAATCGGTAAGTATAATTTTTAAAAATTGTTAGATGCTCGAAATTTACTGATTTAGCAATTTTTAAAAAAGAAAATGATATAAACCTTTCATTTTTCTTTAAAAAAAAAAAATGTTGAGTTCAAGTTTTTTTTTTCTTTTTTATAATCGAGGGTGTTCGAGCTAATTTATACGCATCTCAACTAATCCTCCAGGATTCTAGAACTACTGATCAGCTCTAGTGAGCTGGAAAAAGCCAAAAATGCTGGCTTGAACTCTGTTAATGTGAGCCACTTTTTGCTAACATGAGTCCATCTTCTTCGAAAGAAAGTGCTAGTGCACTTTAGCATGTTTGTGTGTTATACTACAGTGAAAAGTTGAGAATTTGTTAAAATAAAGGAAACGATATTAGCTTAAAGGTGAGAATATGGAATAAATGCAATTAGAGGTATCAATATGCTAAACCTCGGGTGAGAATATGTCATTTTCTCTAATATATTCATGTAAAAGGCAATTGTAGTGTTGCTGAAAGAAGCCTAAACCTACTCTAACACACACCAGCATGAATTTATTGTGGTTTAACTCTTATATTGTATTATAGATATAGTGTTGGTTCCTTAATTATATATATGCAAAATTTTAATTATATTTCAAACTATACTTTTTGTATTTATAAATAATTAATTAAAGTTAGAAAATATGAAATTATTGAGTTGAGAGGTTAAGGCATGAAAATTGAATAAAGATAGTTATGAGAATCTAGTAACAACTGTCCAAAATCAAATAAGATATAAATAGCATGTGCAAATGACTTAACAAAGAACCTCAAACATGGTATAACTCATTACTTCTTAATTTTTTATTTACTTTTCATTCTGAATTCAATAATTATATTTCAACTTTATTAAATTTTTAAAAAAAAAAAAGGACCACAAAGTGGATAGGAATAGGATGGGTAGGAGTCTTTGTGAGCAATTTCATTTTATTTGGTTAATAATTAAAATATCTTATGGATTATATCACAAAAACATATATGAAAAGAAATAATATCATTATGATGGAAAGAATTTAAAAATATAGTGAAAAGGAAATAATATAATTATGATGGGAAGAATTAAGAAAATATTATAATAAAAGATTTATTTGACCAATATTGCATATGTCTTTTTCTTTTCTCTTAATTATTTTCAAAATATACTATAATTGAATATATTAGAAATAATTAAGACCATTTTGAAAAATTTCAAAACCTAGAATAAACATTCAAATTTATAATTTTCAATCCTAGTCAAATTAATGCCTATATTTAACTTTCTAAATAAAAAAGGAAGTTAAAAAATCATTTTAAAAAGGTTATTATTAAAATTTCCTTATCATAATTTTCTTTGAAATAATAAATTTGTTTGAATATATATTAACTATTATATAAAACTCTAAAAATTAAAATTATTAAATCATAAAACAAACATAACTTTATAAAAAAATATTATTAAAAATTAACAACTAAAAAACACTTTACAAGTAAATTTTCAAAATGAAAAACAATTTTTTTTTTCCATTGGTTATAAATAAGAAAACAGGATTTACATTTTCTAAAACAATCCTTTTGTTTATGAAAACAGAAAATGAAACAGATGCCGAACGTGAGAATTTGTCTCTTATAAGAAAAGAAAAAAAAATGTAAAACTACCTCTAGATAGCTTGATGATTCATTTGATTCTTGGGTTTATTATTTAAGAGGTCATGAGTTCGAATCTCTACGATTACTAATAGGAGGTAGCCATTAGACCATCTCCAACCCATTGCACCAATTTGGTGCAATTTTGCACCAAATTGATGCAATTTAGTACAAAATACTATTCCATCTCCAACCCACAACACCAAATATTACACCAAGAAGAATATCTTTATATATTCTTTAAATATTCTTATTTTTTCTTTTATTGTAATAATCACAATTAATCTATTTCACTCATTATTTTGTATATATTAATTAAATATTGAGAATGATATTTTTATTAAATAATAATTATTTTAAAAATTATACTAATTTAATAAATAAGTATTTATTAATCAAATAAACATTATATTTAATATAAAAAACATTATAGAAACATTACATCTAATATAAAATAATACAAAAAAAAAAAAGAGCAAGGATTTGAATTCATAACCGATCTAAGCCTACGTGAGTTTTTTCAAAATAAGTAATTAAGAATTATGCAAAAAGAGCTCAACAACAAGGTCAAGGATCTTAAAATAACTCTAGTTCTTCAATATTTTGATAATCTTACTGGATCCGGAACTATATACCGAAATATAAATTGTTATTTTAGTTTATGTTGTATTTTCTTTTAATTTTAGTATTTTTAAATTAGTGTTAATTTTTATTTTGAGTTTTTTAGTTTAATATTTGCATTGAATAAGTTCTATTTTTAATTTTTCATTATTTTTTAAATTATATCATTATTATAAGTTTATTATTATAAATAATAATCAAATTAAATTAATACTCAAATTTGGTGTGATTTTTGGTGTAAATTTAATATTCAAATTAACTTAACAAAATTAAAAAAACAAAAAAACCAAATTAAAAAAATATATATTTTTTTATTGTGTTACAGTGCTGCGCCATTTTGGCGTGGGTTGGAGTACCAACCCACGCCAAATGGGTGTTTTTTGCGCCAATTTGGCGTGGGTTGGAGATGCCCTTAGGACTTACTAGGTCGTTAACTAAATGGGGTCTTCATTTTTCAATTCTAGATCATACAAACATTTATAAATAACATATTTCCTACAAATAATTCAAAAAAAAAAAAAAAAAAACTACACCACATCTAAAATAAATTGAAATAAAAAAATGGAAGCAAATTAGAAATTAACCAAAAATAATTCTCAAAAACGTTGAAAACAAAAATGTGTTTTCCGAAAACAAATTGTCAAAACACTTTTCTCCATTTCCAACTACAAAACACACACACTTTGACTTTCACAATGATCCCTAACAACCTTGAAATCTTTCATTTTCAACCCAATCTCTCCACAAGCAGCTTCAGTTTACCGCAGTTTCAGCAGTTAAAAAATATTTCTAGTCAAACTCTACTTACTTACGCAGCTACTTCTGACAAATAAACATTAAAGCGTTCAGTTCAGTTGGATTTTTTTCATTATTTCGTTTATTGTATATGTTTTTTGTTTTCATCATGTTACTCACCTTCACAAACATGGATTCCTGATTTTCCCGGAAAAAGTTTTAATTTTTCTTGGATTGTGAGGGAAAAGATCGGTGGGTATCGAAGGGAATTTCATTTGGGGAGATGGGTAATTTTGTTTGCATGACGAAGAAGGAGACTAAAGAGAAGGGGCATGGATCCAGAAGCAAGAGAGTGGGGAGGTCTCAGAGGAAGCTTTTAGCGGAAGAAGAGTTGTTGCATAGGCAAGCTTTGTCTATGGCGCTTCAGCAACATCAGTTTTCTCAGCGGTTTGAGGGATCCATGTCGAGAAGAATTGGAGGCTCTACAAGCTCTAGAAGACGCAATCTTGATGACCCTTTATCGAATTCAAAGCAGGTTACAATCACTTTATGTTTATATACGTTGAATGATTTTATTATTATTATTATTATTTTTTTACCTTTTTAAATTTATTTAATCATTATTGGATCTGTGCTGATAGTGGGTTTTGATGATTAAGGTGTAATGAAAAGTAGAAGAAGAGAAAATAAAAATAAAAATAAGAAGTGTTAATATTAGGAAAAGTCAAGCTTTTAGAGTAGTATAGTAATGTTTCTTTCTTTACTTTTTGTTAATGACTTGAAAAGTGAATCTGAAAAAGTATGGGGAACCTGCTAATTCATTGTGCTTTTAGGATTTTGATTTTGATTTTGATTTTATTGAGGATTTTATTATGCCTTGAGAATTCTTTAGTATTAAGTATTGAGCATGGTTTTACGGTGAAAAGAAACCAAGATCAAGGTTTATCAGTTTTAGTGAGGTCAACTCTACTTTCATATGTTGAGAGAGATGATATCTTTGACTCTTGACTTTTAATTTTTTCAATTATGGGGTTATTGGTGAATGGTTTAGGACAATTGATAAATTTTTTGTTGGAGATTAAATCATTATCAGCAAGCCACAAGATGTGGAAAATGTGTTGAAAAGCTGTAAAGGGTACTGTAAATACTGAATAGTGATTATGATGTTTGTATGTCCTAAAGTTTCAGGAGCCATGTGCCTCTTCTCAACCTGCCAGAAAGGTTCTGGCATGATTGTACTTAAGATTAAACCATGGCCTTTAACTAGGAAGGTAACTTGCCAATTTGACGGTACCTTTCTACAAGTATGCAAACATTAAAATGATATTTGGCCATTTACTTGGTTCTGGCATGAATTTTTGTTAGAAACACAGAGAATAACACTCTTAATTTCCTCATGTTTGCCCTTAGGAAAAAACTTGAATATGCATTACAGACCCTGGAAACTCTTATTTTTTCCCCCTTTTTTACTTTCAATGAAGTTTGGCTATTTACTTGCTTATGACGTGAATTTTGTTTTCAAACATAGTTGATAACAATCTTAATTTCCTCATGTTTGGCCTGAGGCAAAAAACTTGAATATGCATTACACACCCCAGAAATTCTTTTTCCTTTTCCCTTTTTCCTTTCTTTCTCTGCTATTCTTCCTTGTTAATAGATTTAATTGTAGACATGTATTATGTGGCAATATTTTGACCTTTAAATTCTAGTAAGTAATGGTTGCATATTTCAGTAACTGCAGTTTGCCCGATAGAAATAAATTTCACCGACTAACATGTCCTGTGCAGGCACCAAACATTCTGGAGAATATCCAGTTTAAAAAAATTGTACTAATACACGGAGAAGGATTTGGAGCATGGTGTTGGTACAAAACTATTGCTCAATTGGAGGAAGTAGGATTGCAGCCGACAGCTTTAGATCTTACAGGATCTGGTATTGATCTGACAGATACAAACAATGTCACCACACTGGCGGACTATTCAAAACCATTGATTGATTATCTTGAAAACCTTCCAGAGGATGAAAAGGTTAGAAATATAGGTTGGATAATGCCATCATTCGTATTCATTAAAAAAAAAGTAGCTGACAAGCGTCTATTTTGTGTTTTTCAGGTTATGTTGGTAGGTCACAGTAGTGGGGGTGCCTGTATTTCTTATGCATTGGAGCATTTCCCACAAAAAATCTCAAAAGCGGTTTATCTCTGTGCTACAATGGTGTCAAATGGCCAGAGACCTTTTGATGTATTTGCTGAAGAGGTACGATCTGAGTTCTGTTTGATGCTTCCCAAGTGCTTTCTAATTGTACCAGCCTCGTAAAACAATTATACCAGCCTGTTCATTAAGCATATACTGGAACCTTTTCTGATCAATGAATGTTAATGATTTATGGTAACATCAATTATTCATGCATAACTCTTATAAATGAAATTTCATTTTTCACCGATGTCTAACACTACATGCGATTAGTACAAGAAATTATTTGCCTTCGCATTTGCCTATCCAATTTAATTGCTAGAATATCATGAGAAATCTCATTTGAATATTGTTCCTCAAGCCATTTTCGCTGTTTAGAATTATTCAGTCGTATGACCTCACTGATGAAATTTGTATTGCAGCTTGGTTCTGCCGAGCGTTTTATGCAAGAATCCCAGTTTTTGATATATGGAAATGGTAAAGATAAGCCTCCTACAGGATTCATGTTTGAAAAACAGCAAATGAAAGGGTTATATTTCAATCAATCACCAACAAAGGTATTGTATAGTTCAAGCCTATCATTTTGTCTTCAGAACTTCTGGGTTTCTACATTTCCTTATTGCGGAATGCAACACATTTTATAATTTATAAAATCATATTTATGTAAAATATTTACTATCTCTGCTTCTCATAATCATGATATAGTGTATGCCTGGGGCTGTAAATTGAAGTTAAAAATGCTATTGTTAGTGTTTCTCTCGCTGAGTACAACATCAAGATTTGCAAGTATGGTACGTTTTGTCCGTGGTTTTGGCCTTGAATGGCACTCCAATGTTTTGCGCAATGCTGGTCAAGATCTAAGCATATTTGATAGCTCATGCCAGGTTGTCAAACATGATACTGAGTTTTATTTTAAATTTTGCGTCACTGTTATTTTAGATTATAATAGGTTAATATATGAATATTGGAGTCACCAATTGCAGTTAAAAAAAAAAAAAAAAAAAAATTCTTATCTTCAAATTTTAGAATGTCACCAATAATATGCTACTTTTTTTTTTTTTTTTTTGGTTTACGAAGTCGGAATATATCGAGCTCCCGTGGACATCCACCTTTTGTTGTGCTCCAATTGTTGTAGGCTATATTGATAACTTCTAATCGTGTTCGGTTCTTAAACTCTTCCGCGTAGTATTTTACATGGGCTTGTGGAGCTAAACCATAGCATAGAGTACATTATGTGATCTAGCTAGTAATTGTTCCTCCAAAACTAGAAGAAGTGAAATAACAACCCGCCCTCATCATTATATATGCCTATGGATAATATGATTTGACATGGATTTTACTTCATTTCAGGATGTTGCCTTGGCCATGGTTTCCATGAGACCTACACCGCTGGGTCCTATTATGGAGAAGCTGTCATTGTCCCCTGAAAAGTATGGAACTGGCCGGCGGTTCTATATACAAACATTAGATGATCGTGCCCTTTCACCAGATGTCCAAGAAAAGCTTGTCAGAGAAAACCCGCCAGAAGGAGTCTTCAAGATCAAAGGAAGTGACCACTGCCCTTTCTTCTCGAAGCCACAGTCGCTGCATAAAATGTTAGTTGAAATTCTTCAGATTCCATAGCTTGAATTTCTGAAACTGGGACAATTATTTTGTAAATCGTTTGTTTTACAGAAGACAGACATTCATTGATTACATCAATGGCCTTTGACGAGGTAGGCAATTATTGTATGTAAAACACTGAGCCATTTGTCTATTTTAGTTTATTTTCTGAATACGGATATAGGAAGTACATGTGTTTACCTTTAATTTATTAAGCAAATATTAGATTAAAATGAACTCTGCTAGATTGTATGACAGAAAAATTAGTCCCGATTCTTTTTACGACCAAGAGGTGAAATTTTCTTTTAGCCTTTTTAACGGTAAGAAATATATTTAGCTTTATTTATTTACTTGTTTTTATTTTTACATTTTGTACTTGCTGTTGGTAAGTTCGCCGTTGGTAAGTTGAATGGACAATCTCCCAGTGAATGAAATTTACCCTTTTGTTTTACCACTCGAATTTATAACATGTTATAAGTTGTGTATTTACAGTTATAAGTTTAAGTTGTTATAGGTAAATCATATATGTTGCAAAGGAATGGAAACACAAACTGTTGAGAGGTACATGTTTAACATTAAAACAAGTCACAATCAAAGTTATACGAGTCATATGCAGCTGAGAAACAAACGTATAATAAGCTTCTCTACATACCAGGTTCTACTCTCTACTGCACTAAACATTTCTGGGCTCTGACTTCCGAAACAATACATAGGACAATATTTCTTCTTTCGTACGATTTTCTGAGGGTTAACCACTAGAACCCAAAACAAATTTTACACAACGCAGGTAACAGCGACATATTCACAAGTACAACCAACTCTCATATATAAAAAGCCCTACAACTGATACCAACTGGTTAAATGTCAATAATGATTTGAGGACTCTGAACTTTGCATCACCAAAGGAGCGCCGGAACTTTCCTCTACCAATGGCTACGCAAAGTCAAGCAAGAACTTCCAATTTAGCATCGATAGTACTGCTGATATCCACCTTTCAATCTAATGCTGGTTGTTCTCTCATGCTCGAGAGGATTGGAAATTCGTAGATACGAGGCAGATAATTCAATAATCACATCAATTAGAAGCTCTTCATTGCTTCTGAGTCTGAAACAAAGTTGCTTCCCCAGATATAGATGATGGTTCCTTGAGAATGAATCTCAAAAAGGATTGGATCCAAACCTGGGAATGGACTAAAACAAACCATATGATTATTTACCAATTGCAAACTCCAACAAGGCAAATAAGATCTTGCCATTCATCGCCACATGACAGGAAAAAATAGATTGTCAATATCTGGAAAAGAGTTGCAACTTCTAAAACCTGAAAAGCAAACAAATTCACCAGAGTGAATAAAAAAAAAATAACTATGAACTACATCAGTAAATTTCACCAGGCCTCGAAGAAAAATAGAGGCGACACCAACTGCTTGCAAGCTAACATGTATGTTTCAAAAGGACTCATAAGCAGGAAAGTAACATAATTCGAATTGATAATAAAACTTCTAATTGTACTATAAATTAACAAAACCGATTAAATTCATATTATCTAAGAAGATTTTAGTAATAACAAAATGTATTTTATGGTTACATTATTTGTTTCAATGCATTTTATGGTTATATTATTTGTTTCTGTTTTATGAAGAGATGAAGATACAAAAAAGTGGTTTTAGAAGCTAAAGACCATGGGAACTCAGCGTATAAAGGCTTCCCTTCTCAGTTGACATGGAAGCAATATTATTAAAGACAACTTTAATACTGTTTTAAATAATGTTAAAATGGATCAATGCATGACATTTGGCTATCTATACCTGCAATACATTTCTAGATGACAACTGATATCATGGGGCAACAAGTCCATCATAAGAAGATATAACCCCTAACTTCTGTTAATCTATCAGTTAATGATATACCTATGGGGATTGCCTAGATAAAAACAACCGTCTATTCGTTGAAGGGGGCATTTGCCTCACTGGTCCATGTTAGCTCCATCAGTGGGCTTAAGATTATATACATGTAACGTTCTGATATCTCTACACATGTAACAGCTTCTGATATTTATCCAATACACAGCATTCCTCCATATTATTCTATCTAGCTAACTCTTCATTTAATTAAGGTTTATGGTCCAAAATGATGTATCCATATGGTGATTATTATTTTGCTGTCCCTTTCCTACTCAATGTTACACTTTCCAACTCTGTTATACTAACCAGGGAAGATAATAAAGTATTATCATGTATTTTGCATTTTCTGATACCATCTCCTATAGAAGATTGGAAGGTTCTTAACTTAAAAAATAAACAAGATAAATCTAAAATGAAATTAACATTTATTTATTTCTTTTTTTTTTTTTTTTTTTTTAAAATCCTAAACTAAAGGACTATAATATATAACAATGATTAAAAGGGAAGACATTTACTAATGATAAGGTTGATTGAAACTTTCAAATCAAAAGCTCAACTACTATAGCTCGATTTAACTTCCCACAAATCGAAAATATTTTGAACCTGTTGAAGAAAAGGATTATAATTTCCCAATAACATCATCACTACAACACCTGATACATGTCCAAACAAAGCTATTTAGTACACAAAACTCAAAGAGAACATAGCTTTAAAATTTATGCTGACACCATTTACGTTAAAAGTTTACGCAATTATACCCCAATATCATTCCAGTGAACAGCTTGTGAAATTTCTGAATCAGTTCAAGTTTGTTTATAACCAAATGGAAAACCAGATACATATAAAGCTTACCAGAATTAGACAAATACTTTAATTCCCAGAAGATGTCTTTTGAATCCATACTTGCTTCTGTGTTTTCCAAAAAAGAGATTTAAGACTGGGTAGAGTAAGGACACGGGGATTTATACATACCAGAAGTTGTTTAAAAAAATATATATTGCCTCACCTCATGGGCACCTGAGCTGGTAGAACCTCTTCTTTTTGAAGACTTGCCCTCATCATCCTTTGTAACACGGGCAGCTACACGATGAACATTATGTCGGGAACCTGGATATATTCAATATTTCAGCTGCATAATCACGTAATTGGAGGATAATTCTATTGTTAAAAAGGAAAACAGTGACAGTATATGAACCCTGCATAATAATTCTTTAAACCCATTTTTTTATTGAAGTTTTATATTACTAAATAAACAGTAAATAAAATTACTAGTAAGGATAAAATAAGGTAATAATATAAAGAGAAAAAATTGCTCTCCACAGCCTTCTTGCGTGTCTACAATTTCAATATTACTATAACAATTTTTTAATTTTTTTTAATTTTTTGGTTGGCTGATATAAAGAAAAAAAAACCTGTTCATGAATCATGACTAAACAAGTTTGAACTCAAATTGTCTGCTAATTGAAAATTTTATTGGCACAAAATACACTAATTGTATGGACTAAGTGAATTTGTGTTGCTGAGTGTACAGCAAGTTGGGAAGTCATATCATTTCTTTCCCAAGCTTAGATTTCAATTGAGTTACAGATCACTTTTCAAAGGAACTCACATTGAAATTAATTCCAAATATCTGAAGAGTTAAGGGTACCAATAACCCTAGAAAATTTTGGATCCCAATTTTCACATTTTGACTGCCTTCCTAAAAGAGGAAGTAAAGTTGCAGAAAAAATATTTTGTAATTAGGTCTGGAAATATTAAAGACTGTATGTTCATTTCTATTTCCGGATTTTTCATTTTCAATTTTAGGTTAGGATTTGAGGTGGTGAAGAAGGAAGAGGATGAGTGAAGCAAGAACTCAAAGATGAACACTGAAGAAAATAAATTGTGATGATATCTATTTAATTGAAATCATTTTTGGAGCCATAAATGGAGCAGAATAAATATTAGCTTTCAAAATTTTTATGATTGGAGTATTGGGGAAAACAATGGTAGCCAGCCAAAAGAACATAACAGATGACCAATATAGGTGTTATAGAAAAGCTGACCATTTTCTAAATTACCTCCATTTGAAGGAGCTATAGCTCCAGTAGTCTTGCTTCCACGTGGAATGTCATCTTTGATGTCTCCATGGGGAGCTGAAAGACATAAGCAGAAACTGAAACTTATACATTGCCAAAAGAATAATGCTCATTCAAGTTAATCATTTGATGCTAAACTATATATAAATACTTCATACAAAAACTTGATGATCCCAGCATGGTAACAATGATACCTTCAATTGAATTTGAAAGCAATTCATTAGGCTGCATGGATGACGAGCGCTGCTCAGTAATCTGAGCAACATCAGAATGACGAAGAGGAGCCCAGGAAACATAATCAGGTCTATCCCTATTTCTTGTACGTTTCTCTTGCTTCTCACTTTCAGTACCTAAACCATTCAGGACTTTTCTCACAAATCTACTGTCTGGACCTCTCTTTGTATCACGGTCAGATCTAGATGTGTGTAGGTCATTATTAGATACATGACCATCTGTACGTGACTGTCTATTCATAGACCGAGGCAGTGGCTTCCCATTCTCTATGTTTAGGCCTTGCTTCTCCCGAGCTTGGACTGCAGCCAAGGGTTGAGTTTGGCTTTCACGCCTCTGAATCTGTTTTGTAGTAGTTGTGGTAATTCCACCAGATGATGTTTCGCCCTGATGACAGAAAAGGTATCAGTCACCCAAGGTTTCACAATATCCATCACAATTAGCATTGAAGACGCTAGCGATTACTGTTTATTCAGTCCACAAGTTTAGTTCATATCAAACTAACAGCATCTGTGCTGGAAATGGTAACCTTCAATCAAGTAGGCAAGTTCAGAAACAATAAACTTACATGAGAAATTTCTGGATCTTTCGGTTTCAAAAGCAATATCTTTTTCTTTCCAGAATCAGAGGTCAAGGTTATTCCCGAAACAGTACTTTCAAGACCAAGAACTGCAATTCAAATGATCAAAACAATTACAAATTATATTAAACAAATAAGTAGAAGCAGTTATTTAACCCATAATTTCATCACATTGGGAGCTTCTAAGCAGAATCACACTTACTGTCTGCACATATGACCAGAACAGACATAAAAAGAGATGCAGTCATATGCCTGCTCACATATATACACACACACTTTCTGACAATGACAGAACGACATCAATGTAAAACACAAATGCACTCTAATAAGTTCATTGTTCAGAAATTTCTTATCTTATAATGCTTCCCCAAGTAATTGTTCATCACATATGTATAGTTTTGCATTATCACAAACAGTTTGATTTTACTTATTAGTTAACACCATTACAGTCATTGAAACTAATTATTTTAATTAAATAAAGATGGTATGAATAATTAAAGAAGAAAACAGGAGAAGTTTTAGCGACAATAAAACTAACATCAGAGTCATCTAAATCAAACAAAATGAGGATTCATAAGTAATAAACCTATATCCATTATCAACTATTAATATCAGAGGATTCTAAATCCAACAAAATAAGGCCTTATATACAGTGGCAAGTCTAAAAATATGGAAACTACACAAATAAGTACCCTAAATCCTACTACAATAAAATTTTAAAAAGAAAATAAGAAAAAAAAATCTGACCAGAAAAGTAACAAGAGTGACCCAGATATATAACTTTCAAAAATAAAATGGTTCTATAAATAAAAACTTAAACTTAGATTCTAGATTCTGCATCAGTTTCATTACATCATTTGTTGTAACATGAAAGTGTAACCCACTTGTATGAATCCATAACTTGAATTGGACCTCAACAACGTGACAACATAAGAGAAGAAAAGTTTGACAAAAGAAAAAAGCTACAAATTTTACTAAGAATAAAGGACCAGAATGGGGGAGGGAGATAACACACTTTTTCCTCAAAGTACATACCAGACAAATACGTACATGCATGGAGAAGGAGAGCAAGAGATGAACGTGGGCATGATATAATGAATGAGAAGACAAAATTGAATACAGATAATCCAATGATTCTACTAGAAACAATGATGTCTCTACTTCAGAAGAGTTTACATGTCAACTTGATCAACAGGCAAACCTCAGTTGTCATACATCCACAATATTAACAAGTTAAAGATATACATGATCAAACATGACCAAGACAGTAAAAGCGATAGGTGTCCAAAAACAGTGAAAAAAAAAAAAGCGTTTTTAGTAAATTACATCACTATCATTTTGGTCATATCAAAATGTGGCTACTGGGTAGATAAGTTTATTTTGATGGGAAATAAGTTTTAAAGATTTGTGCCTTTGCAACATAGCTCGGTCATCAGTTCAACTTCGTATAGTCCAAGAACAGTACACAAAATACACCCCATCTAAATTAAAATAAACCCATCTTCTATGAAAAAAGAAAATTATTCTTAAGTAGTTCAAAAAGAAATTGGAGGGAAAAAGCATACTGGTATCACTTTCCAAAATTCCTTTCCCAACAGAAGAGGTTGGCTGACCCTGTCGCTTAGGCACCACAATGAAAGATGATTTGTCTTTTCGACTTGCGTTTTTCTCACTGCCCTTTAGTACATACTGGGACAAAAAAAAAAAGTGAATGAGAAACAATGGAGATCAATATTTATCCACTTAACAGTCATAAATTTCTAATTTGCAAATAGGGTAAAACCATCAAAACAGTACAAACAATCACAAAGAAGTGAAGCCACTAGTAAGTAATGATGTCAAAGAAATTCCAACAGAGAGAGAAATGAGAAGAGAAAAGGGGAAGGAGTTAAGTAGGAAGCAAATAATGATATACTGAAAAAGAAAATCAGAACTCAATTAAATGCATAACTCTATGAACCATTTGTCCAGGATGTTTCACTTCTTAATTGCTGTAAAACAAAGGTAGACAACAAAATATTTTTTTTCCTTTGATAAGGAAAAGGAGATTATTAAATGCCTAAAGCCTTATGTACGGTAACAATATACAGAAGACGTGAAACCAGAATAGAAACACAGTTTAAGGAATCCAAGAGATTTAAGAACAGTGATGAAACTGATGAGAAACAAAGATCCAGGAATATAGTTACCTACCTATTTATCCCTAGCCTAGATAAAGGCGGTTACCTTCAAAAGCCTCTATAATTTTATTCCAACCACAAGCACCATATTAGATGAACAGAGATTTCTCTCCAAAATATAACTGCTCCCTTCCCCTCCACTAGAAGCCACTAGTCATTCAAAGGGCATGGCATCACCAAATTTAACATAAAGATTGGAAATGAGACAAAATTTACAAGACTACAGAAATATTAAAGCAAGGGACCAATTTCTTCCCATCTCTTTCACACATGTTAGCACCAAACTAAATTCCTTTTCCTGTTCAGTTTGTCCAACAGAAAATCACTTGCATGAAGATATTTTCAACACTTTCTACTGATTACTACTGTGGCCATGCAAGAAAAAGGCATTCATGAATTTTAAGAGCTTAGAATACCCCTTCATATTATTTAAGGGAATTTCTGGATAGTGTAATTGCTAAGGTTTAAAGATAAGTTTCCTTTTTCAACAGCCTTGTCCTTGTTGATGAGAGAACAAAAGAAAAATCCAACAAAAATTCACAATTGAAACACTACATAACTATGAATACATCTTCCAGATTTTGAGCGGAATATGAGCCAGTTAAACTATGGGCACTATATAACTCAATGACCAAGAAACCTCTCACCAACACCAACAAAGAGAGTGAAATTGTTATTGACTTTAATCTGAAATAAACAGACAAACAATTTGCTGCAGATAGAAATAAAAACCACCAACTACAAGCTTCACAACATAAGTAACTGAGGAGGAATCCATTAGAATATGAGCTATTGAAACTAGGAAAACTATACATCTGGATTATGTTCTGAAGGCCTCTCACAAAATCCACTATTAGTAAGGAATTGCTAATGACTTTAACCAAAAACCCTAAAACTTGAACTTTGTCTAACATATTTATAACACACACACACACACANTTATTCTTAAGTAGTTCAAAAAGAAATTGGAGGGAAAAAGCATACTGGTATCACTTTCCAAAATTCCTTTCCCAACAGAAGAGGTTGGCTGACCCTGTCGCTTAGGCACCACAATGAAAGATGATTTGTCTTTTCGACTTGCGTTTTTCTCACTGCCCTTTAGTACATACTGGGACAAAAAAAAAAAAAGTGAATGAGAAACAATGGAGATCAATATTTATCCACTTAACAGTCATAAATTTCTAATTTGCAAATAGAGTAAAACCATCAAAACAGTACAAACAATCACAAAGAAGTGAAGCCACTAGTAAGTAATGATGTCAAAGAAATTCCAACAGAGAGAGAAATGAGAAGAGAAAAGGGGAAGGAGTTAAGTAGGAAGCAAATAATGATATACTGAAAAAGAAAATCAGAACTCAATTAAATGCATAACTCTATGAACCATTTGTCCAGAATGTTTCACTTCTTAATTGCTGTAAAACAAAGGTAGACAACAAAATATTTTTTTTCCTTTGATAAGGAAAAGGAGATTATTAAATGCCTAAAGCCTTATGCACGGTAACAATATACAGAAGACGTGAAACCAGAATAGAAACACAGTTTAAGGAATCCAAGAGATTTAAGAACAGTGATGAAACTGATGAGAAACAAAGATCCAGGAATATAGTTACCTACCTATTTATCCCTAGCCTAGATAAAGGCGGTTACCTTCAAAAGCCTCTATAATTTTATTCCAACCACAAGCACCATATTAGATGAACAGAGATTTCTCTCCAAAATATAACTGCTCCCTTCCCCTCCACTAGAAGCCACTAGTCATTCAAAGGGCATGGCATCACCAAATTTAACATAAAGATTGGAAATGAGACAAAATTTACAAGACTACAGAAATATTAAAGCAAGGGACCAATTTCTTCCCATCTCTTTCACACATGTTAGCACCAAACTAAATTCCTTTTCCTGTTCAGTTTGTCCAACAGAAAATCACTTGCATGAAGATATTTTCAACACTTTCTACTGATTACTACTGTGGCCATGCAAGAAAAAGGCATTCATGAATTTTAAGAGCTTAGAATACCCCTTCATATTATTTAAGGGAATTTCTGGATAGTGTAATTGCTAAGGTTTAAAGATAAGTTTCCTTTTTCAACAGCCTTGTCCTTGTTGATGAGAGAACAAAAGAAAAATCCAACAAAAATTCACAATTGAAACACTACATAACTATGAATACATCTTCCAGATTTTGAGCGGAATATGAGCCAGTTAAACTATGGGCACTATATAACTCAATGACCAAGAAACCTCTCACCAACACCAACAAAGAGAGTGAAATTGTTATTGACTTTAATCTGAAATAAACAGACAAACAATTTGCTGCAGATAGAAATAAAAACCACCAACTACAAGCTTCACAACATAAGTAACTGAGGAGGAATCCATTAGAATATGAGCTATTGAAACTAGGAAAACTATACATCTGGATTATGTTCTGAAGGCCTCTCACAAAATCCACTATTAGTAAGGAATTGCTAATGACTTTAACCAAAAACCCTAAAACTTGAACTTTGTCTAACATATTTATAACACACACACACACACAAAAAAAAAAAAAAAAAAAAATCCGTCCTAAGAATTTGGTGCAAAGATAGAAGTTATGATATATATGCACCACCAATAACTACAAATTTCTCAAACATAAGCACCTGAAGAGGAATGGATCATTTATGGAAGTACAAAAGGCTGTGCTTGAACAAATAATCCAATAGGTAATTACCTTTTTCTTCTCTGAGCCTCTTTTGGTGGTACCTGAACCAGACTTTCTCGAAGATGCTCCCCTACTTCTTCTGCTAGCTTTTCCAACAGCTGAGGAACTCTGTCATCAATAACATAATCCAATTCAAAACATAAATGTCTTCCACAAGTAATTGTATCTTTTTTTAGAAAGAAAAAGAACTAATTTGTAGATAGGTGAAAGCATTTCATTGTCTATGGAAAACTGTAAACTATACTTTAACTTTAAGGGAAGATGTGCAAAAGCGCAGGGAAAACTCTTAAAAAGTTTATGTATCACGCCATGGTAATTCAAATAAATCTTACAAATTAACCAGATCCCTGTTAATAGACCAGAAGTAGTCCTTTATAAGATTATATAGTAGCGCATTCACGGTGACCATTCCCCATATAATACTAAAACAAAACAGTGTGATCACTTCAAAACTAGTAACTGGAACAGCATTAGTTATCATGCAAAGCCACAGAATATATGTAAACTATCCGGCATGGGTTTTTCAAATCACTTGCAATCATTCAAATTTGCAGGCTGAAGAATTTGTTCAGAGCCAATATAAAACTTAGAAGAATCTTCCAATACATAAGACTTGAATGAAAGACAGAACCAAATAAATTACAACCATTCATGAGTAGTACACCAATCAACCATTGATATATATAAAATAAAGCCCTTCCATAAAGCAGAAATATGCAAGGCTATTAAGCTTTCTCCATTGAACATCACTTGGTCCCATAAAAATATGTATATTGTCCTAACACATTATATTTTACAAAAAGGAAGGACCCCATTTACCTGAGTTCGGCTTTCAGAAGCTCGTTTCAGCCGAACATATTCCATTAGTGGTGTAACAATAGGGGTTTCTTTTGTGGCACCTGCGAATCAAAATAAACAAATATTTACAAACAACAATTTACATTCATAAAATAAATCAGCAAACAACTAACATACCAGATAGTTCAGCTTCTTTTCTTTCCAACTGAATTTCTGCACTAGGAAGATTCTCAACAGGTTTCGCAATAAGTTTGAGGAACTCGAGATAATCAGGATCTAGTTTTGTCACATAATATTAAAAAAAAAAAAAAAAACTTATTTAATACTATTGTGTGCACATAACAACAATGACAAATACAAAATTAGTTTAAATAAATAAAAAGAAAAGTACCATTATAAATGGTCCCTTCACGACTATCTTTTCTAGTACAAGGCTTTGGAACACGTTGTGAAGGAGCATATTCAACAATGGTCTTAAACTGAGATCCTGAACATAATTGAAACACATACAAAATAGCAAACACAAGTAGAATTAGCCGACAGTACAGGAACATTCTTCCCTGTATAGATACCATAACAAAAATAGACAATTAATATCAAACTATTAAATATTGAACTAAGTGACATTTCAATGTTACAAGTTTCTTGTTAAGCTATTACACCTAATTCGAAACAAAACTCATAACATCAAATATAACCCTTGCAATTACTCTTACTACAGAACATAATACATTTCCTATCTAATGAGTAAATATTACACATTACTGGACTTGTTACATGTTACCAGTTGTCATTCTAATCTTACAAATTTCACATTAAGCAGCAATACCTACTAAAATCACCCGTGTTCATTGTAATGAATGCTCGTACAATTAAATACAAAACTTCCCAGTATTGATACTGCAGCAAAAATAGACACGTAATATTAAACAATATACTATTGTACCATACAAAAGTCATACTTGTGGTAAATTATAAGTTGCCATTTCACTGCTACAAGTTTCCCTCAAAGCGATCATATGTTAGAGTAGTAACAGAACTTCATCATATTAAATATAAGGCTTTCCTACTACAGAACTTGCAGCAATACCTACTAAAATCACACGTGTATATTGTAATAAAGCTTGTACTAATAAATACAAAACTCCGTGGTATCGATACTGCAGCAAAAATAGACATGTAATATTAAACAATAGAATATTGTACCACACGAAATTCATACTAATTATACATTACAAGTTGACATTTCACTACTACAACCCCTTTAAGCTATCATACTTTTAGTTTGCAACGATAATTTTATCATATTAAATATAAAACTTCTCTATGCAAAATTTTTAGCGAAAATTTTATAATATTCAATACAAAATTTCCAATTAAACACACTTATAACAAAAAACGAAACACATTACTTATCTAGCCAGTAATGTTGCAGATTACCAGAAGGGTTACCTTTCTCATTAACAAAGACATGTCCGTTGAGCAAATCAGCGAACTCGAAAACATCCTCCGCTCGCTTCAACTCAACATACGCTCGAGAAAACCTCTGAATCTTATGCTTGTTGCTGCAATTAAAAACTCAATCAATCAAGATTCTAAAAATAAAAAAAAAATAAAAAAAAACCCTAAAAAATCAATTTCAAATAAAAATTTTTATAGAAAATTAAAATAAATAAAAATAACCTCGACTTCCCTTGGCGAAAGCAAAACCAGTTGTAGCGGCCGACGAAACGATCGTGAAAGAGAGAGAGGAGGTCGGATTGAGAGAGAGACGGAGGCAGATGCCTAATCACCAATTTGGTTCTCTGCAATGGTTCCTTCATCTCATCGCATCGTCTGTCAATTAATTTTAATTTCAATTTAATTCGTCTGCAATTTATTTGTGATTAGGAGTCTGATTGGTTAGTTTGGAATTTTAGAGTTTAGGACATGCGTAACCAATAAGTAGTGTTTTCGGGACATTAGGTTATTTGCTTTATTTCTAGGGGCTTTTCTGAAAATCAGCCTATGTTGGGTAACGATTTATTTTGTTATTTATCCCAATAAATAAACTACTTTTAAGTTTTAACATCTTTTCTGAAAAAAATTATTACAAATATTTTTAACGTCAATATTTTATTTTCATAATTTCAAAATAAAATTCATAAATTAATGGTTACTTGATAAAAGTTTAAGAAAAACTACAAGCTTTAAAATTATTAAAAAAATGTTTTTTAAGAATTGTTTTGTCCGAGCTAGTTTGTGCGTACATCAACTAATCCTAGAGTCTATTGAATATTCTATAAACCTAATGAGTCAGATTTTAGGTAATTCACCAAAATGGTTAAACTCTTGTCATCCGAGCATAAGGCTTGTGATTAATTGTTAAATTTATTATCTTAAACAAAAAATACTTTATATTTATTTAATAATTTATTGTTATGAGAAAAAAAAACAATTCATAAGATACATTATATGGCATGTTATATAAATAACATTTAATATATTATCAAATTTCGCTATATACTTTTTTATATAATAATTTACATCACTATGGGTAACATTTTAGTTTATTTATATTAAAGTTTTTTTTAATCAAGTTATTTTTCAATATTTTTTAAATCTAAGTAAGATATTATTCATTATTAAGACTTTATACAATCTACGTGTCTAATATTGATTAGTGTTTCAATTTAAAAAATTGGATTACCCATTGAATCGTAGTATGTGTTAACTTTATGCCAGTAAAGGAAGGTTTGCATCTGAGCAAGAATCAACAAGAGAGTATAGAATTTTCCAATTGAGAATTCCATTTAATTTCAAGACTAATAGTTTTTTTAATAGGATGGCAGATCGGGTTACTGTTAGGCTGCGAATGGTTAGGGTCTTAAGAAAATTATTCTGATAACCTATCTTTTACTTCAGTCGTTATTTTGTTTGGCTCAACAGGAAAAAGATAATATAAGAGTTGATATAGAGTGTGATATGATAATGATTATTGACTTAGAATGTGGTATTTTAAGATTATTTGGATATTTTATTCTTATTCCAATTTTATCCTTATTTAATAAAAATTATAGACACAAACACCCTCCTTTTAATATCAAATAACAATTAACTCAATTGTTGAATGATTTCTTTAACCTCATTAATTAATAATTTGGACAAAAATACCCATATATATAATCTTGTAATATCTAAGTATTTTATAATTATTGTCAATTAAATATATTAACTTTTTATACAGTCCACATGAATCAAACACAATAATAATTATATTCATTAATCTTTAAGTTTATTTATCTCACTAATAATCTAATCTTTTTTTATAATAAAACATTGCCAAAACCAACCCTCTTTAATGTTTTGTATGAACCAAACGCCCCTTAATGTGTTATATTCCTGTCATGTCTTATAGAAAAGCTGTAGAAATTTTATTTAATCTGAAAACAATTTATTAAATTATTCGTATTACTGGTCCTGATACAGATATTCTTAAACGAGTGACATAAATATAATCCATTAACTTGTTTAATAAATACATTATAATTGTGTCACAATACGAGTCAATTTGTTTACGACACTTTTAGCTTATTTAACTTATTTATAACACGTTGAATTCGTTTACGAGAAATAACATATTTTTTATTTGCAGGACCATTTTAAATACTGTGCAATTTTAATCAATAATCATGCGTTAGAAACAAATTTTTGTTGTTAAATCTTTATTTTTTTTTTCAAAATAAAATTTAAAATATAACGAAATGCCCATAAATTTTGTGGCGTCAGCCGTCACTGTCACCCCTAACACCGTAAAATTCATGCCAGTTTATTGTTCAATGCTACAAGAACGATCCTCGTCGCAAAAACCCTTCCCTGAAAAAGTGCTTTCCTGATCTTTAACATGGATCAGTTCTTATAAGAACTAAGCGTCTCAACTACAGGCAATGTCAAATGGGCTAGAACAGAATAATTTTAGAGTTCATCAAACGGCGCCAAATCTAAAGCTAATTCACCAAGGCAAGGTTATAATATATCCATATATAAATCTAAATCGGACGGATACGATTAATATAAGTTTCAACGGCAGTTCAAGCTAGCACTGTGAACATTTACATGATACAGAATAAAAAATATAGTACTTTCGAGATAAGACGGCATATATTTGCAGTATGAAAATATTGACATCAGGTAAGAAAAAGAGCGAAAAGATAAACAATCTTAGGTGTTCTTCACACGGCTGCACATACAGTGCTCACAAATGATTGAGATTGGTCAAAGAATAGCACACCGGCTTTCAGCTTGTTTACGGAGCTCCTCAGTCTCCATCTTCGCTTTCTCAAGATTCTCTCTAAGCTTACGAATTTCATCGTTTGATTTCATTTGAGCTGCTTGTGCCTTCTCTTCTGCCTTTAAACGGGCAGCTTGCTCCGCTGCCAATTGCTGTTCAAGCTTACTAGTAGTCTCTTTGAGCTTCAGCTCAACCTATTAAGAACATCAACGTGGACCATTAAACCCTAGAATAACAATATAATACAAATACTGTTCAATATTATTGATGAATGAAAAAGACAAAACATTAACTAAATGGACAGATAGGACCAAAAAAGCCAATAGCATTCCCTAATCTATCAATTGGAGACCATTCCCAAGTAAAATAGCATCCCTAAATTGATACAGTTGGAGTACCCCTGCAATCCTACAACCACTGTTAATCATATAAGAATATCTGAGGCCGTGCAAAGCAACTCATAACATTTCTGGGATTACAAATCAATAATTTACAATCATACTTTACACAGGGACTATAGAAAATAAAAAGGGAGCTCAAACAAATAAATCTACAATATTCAACATATATTTTAACGACATATATCCACAATTTTCCCACCAAAAAAGATATTATACCGACAATGCTCGCATCAGGCTGATGTCATGCAAACAAATTATATTTTCAACAATTTCTAATGTTTTGCCCAAATCAAACTTGCCTCCATGAATTAATTGTATCAGAATCACTACAACCTTAAAACATATATTCAACAATCCAGTAAGAAGATTCTCAAGGAACTAAAATTGCAATAGTATCCTTGGACAAAAAGTCATTTCACAAAATGTTACATGAGTGCAGAATACGTTTACAAAGGATCTCATTGATCACCAAGATCATTCCAAGGCCGTGCTATAATTTTAGACTAGTGGAAAGGGGAAATAATAGTAATAAAACAGGAAATACAGTACAACAAAGGTAGACAATAAAGATCAGGAATAGGGTGCATTTCAATATGAGCAAACTACTGCAGGCACTCTTATTGTTTCTTAATTCATTGAAAGTCAAAATGCAAAAGAATGTCTACAAAACCTTTATGTAAAATTCAACTAGTTATAGTAATCAAATCAGAATATGTGAAAATATGGCTTTATAAAAGAGTTTCTTCATGAAATGGTAAGTTAAAGCCTCTTAAGAGGTGCATAAGAAATTTAATCTTTCCAGGGGCGGTGTTCTCCCTAACTACAGGAAAAGGCCAGAATTGCACCTTACCTCTTGTAATTATACAACTTAGAAAATCTTAATGCAAATGCACATGATAAATTAAAAATGGATAGAGTTCAACCAGATTACCATCTCAGTAATTCGTTGGAGTTGATCTATATGATCTTTCAAATTGCTCCTTCAGAGCTGAAATTTCTCCTTTGAATACTTTAGGGAATCAACCTCCACTTGTTGCATGAAGTCATAGCCCCCTTTGTTATCAAGTAAAGACATTTCACCAACATATTTAATGTGAACTGCATGAGTAAAAAAAAAATTGTGAACAAACTTACCTTCAATTCAGTAATAATATCATCTGTGTAGGTTGTCCACCATTCTGCGCTATGACCCTGTTAACAAGGGAGAGAAGTTCGCAACTTGTTTAGCTCTTTTGGTTCATCCTTAGTCTTGTTATCAAAAAGCACTCGCGATTTTCACACAAAGCAAGAACATCCTGAAACAATGTTAATATAAATTTGAAAAAAAAGCTTATATAAGCCTTTTACAGAATTAAGTGAACATTTTAAGAATCGTAAAGCTGAAGATGTTCAGCCTAGAAAATATATGCTAACCAAATAAGATAAAACAATATCAAATGGGTCATAATTTTTTACAAGGTAAAGCATAAAGTTTTTAGAAAATAATTCCGTAGTGCTTGCAATTTGACTTGATTTATAATAAATGCTCTCTCTATTCAAGACCCAAAAGCAAGTCATCAAAATACATTAGAAAGTAAACAAAACCAGTACCAAATCACTAGAGAAAATGAAAAGCCACTCATTAAAACTGATGAAAAATTTCCTCTCAAACTCAGTGGCTCTAAATTGGTAACTTTAAATCATAAGGTAAGATTCCTTACATTATATAACAAAGCATGAAATAATGTGATAATTTTACAAAAAGCTCAAGCAAAAGCTTCAATTTGTAGACACAGGATGACATTTTCTTGAGCATCAACAAACTTGACAATTTATTGCAGTATTTATACAAGCCAATTTTGATTCCTATAAATGATAAAAAGTAAAATGAGCAAAGGATAAATCCATTTTGTTGACAGCAAGGTAAGGGCTAGAAGAAAATTTTACCCATCTGCTCCAATTATTTAAGCAACTAAAGAGTGAGCTTGGTTAAAACATTTCTCAAGTTAAAAAAGTAAGAAATAGAGATCATCAAGTAAATGTTGGGGCAAATGTGTTAGCATTGTTGCCACCAAAAAAATCTCTCGCTAAAATTAGAGACAACTGAAAGGGAAGAAAGAATAAAAACCAATCATGAGGACAGATCTATACGGAGAATAAAAACCAATCATGAGGACAGATCTATACGGGCTTTAAAGAAAGTTTAATCTTGTAACACTAATTGCAATTATGTAGCATATACTGG